TCTGATTCGGAATTTTAAAAAAGAAAATAGGTCCTTTTAAACTCTCACTTATTTTGAAAAAAGTTAATTCTGAAACCTCCTATTGTCAAAGAGTTAGGTAATCGCCGAAACGACTACTATCTACCCCAGACGGTTTTATTTAATTTGTAGTCTCGCTTGGCACTAGAGACACATACACCTTTTCTATCAACGACGCTCTCCACACTAAACAACACGTATGCATTTACTTTAACGATTTGTATTCGATATTTCTAGTCAAAAGACTGTTTAATTATTTATTTACATCCTTACTATTTATGCGATTCAACAATTACATATCTTGTATTATACTTTAACTATTTCTTTGTTATACCTATCGTACCCGATCTCGATTAATCTCCGACACCTCAATTACCAGCATGACCCTGATTGATCACATATCACGTGAATCGATCGTTCTATATTCCTTTTCTGCTTTAACTTACTAAATAGTTCGTTATCTATTTGCATATCTTTTACAAGGTACACGGGGTCTTCGAATACTATGCGACAATAATATAGATCGAAATTTTGCTAGAATTTATTATAAAAAAGGTTCGTTATAGTAAGCTTTGTTGTAATTGGATTTATAAACGAATATGCTTTCATGTACCAAATTGACACAAATAGATAATTTAAAAGAAGCCATTTAATTCTAAATTTACTCGCGAGTTAAACTAATGGAAAAAATCAGTCTATCAATATACAACACTCTCTTGCTATAGTGAACTCTTAATACAATGAATTACAAAATTATTAAATTACACTAGTATTCTTTTGATATAAATTGTAGTGGAAAATTTTCCGGCTTAAGGACCTCACAATAATGTAAATGAGTTATAATTGGCTTTTTATCGTGTTTCCTCGGTTTCCGCATGCAGCCATCTTTATTTTTCGTCGAAATATGAATACCAATTAAATAAAAATAAAAAAAACATACATATATAGTTAACTTTCTTATAATGAACAATCATTATAGTTAAAATTTTTAAATATTCCTTGTAAAGTAATTTACTATTTTCCTATACTGAACCCTGATAATTTTTTTAAAAGAGGTTTATTATATAGCGGCTTTATAAAAAGGGTTGTTGTAAAGAAGTTATCAAAGATCAGGAAGTCAGGTATCATGTGCTGTATCCTCGATGATGGTTATGGATTTTCTTGTTTCACAAAGTTATTTCCCCACATTTATTCTAACTCAAGTTAGCCTTAAATTTCGCAAAAGTGGTTGTCATAAAATGAGGCCATCAATCAGATTTATGTTTATTTTATTCATATGTATACATACTGCTGTACAATAATGTCAAGTACTTATTTGGATATAAAGTATTTAAAGTAAGACCAACTTGATTTTTTAATTACATTTGTCTCACTTATTCTTTAAAGGGAGAATGTGTTTATTATAAAAAAGGTTTAAATATCTTTTTCACAGAATATCTCAGAATTTATTTAAACACCTTATAATTATTGACAAAAATAAAATGTTTAGAATTATCAAATAATAATTTGATGGAAATTTTAGATTATCATTAATTAAAGTTTTCCGCTTTTTATTTATGGTAGTCCAAATTTTCCTACAGTTTATTCACCAAATCAATTTATGTAATAATAGGCTTAATGATAAGTAACTTGTTGATTAAATCGTTACAAATAAGAATTAATATAGCTAACTAGCTTATTCTAAAACTACAATGAGCTAATCAGTCGTTATATACTCACGCAAGATAAATTCAGTACACATTTCGATAATGCGCTGTTCATCAGAACAGTTATAAAGAAAATATGCTTATATAAAAGTTGATTATGAAGAGGTTTGACTGTACGCAGATTAAAAAAATAACAATAATAAATATAATCTTGAGTAAACTTTAGTGAGATAAGAAAATTAGTTACTGCAATATGTAAATGCAAAATAAAATGAATATGACTAAAGGCAATCTAATGGTAGAATAGGATCTGACATCAAGTTGATTTGTTTGAGAGTTATAATTAATACAAGTACTACCGTTTGCACAGTTATTATTTTGTTTAGGACTTGCTTGAGAATTACTGCTAGGATTATTACTATTAGGACTATTAGTGGGAGTAGGTGTATTAAATGGATAATTTGGATCACCTCCTACTTTACATGCAGCCAACACGCTAGTATCACCACACGTAATCCAAGTGCTATGAAAATCACCAAGTGCGCTGCATGACTTCCAAGTCCAATATTGACCAGTATATGGCCCACTACAATCTACGTAGCAAGTGGTAAAGTTAGTTACTCCGGGGCAACTTCGAGTTACATATGTCTGAGCTTCTGATAGTCCACTACTGGAACCAACTGCGACAGAACCACCAGTCTCTACACACATTAAAACCTGGCAACTTTTGTCTTGTGCTGTAACACCACCAATAATTGATAAACCAAGGGAAATCATTAAAATACCAAAAATCAGAGAACCATCTTGTAAATTCTTTGTTCCAAGACATAATATTTTGATAATATTCATTATCATGATTAAAGATATGAAAATTAAAATTTGGAAAAAGGGATAGAAATAAACAAGACAGAACAATTGGTAATTTTGATATTGACCAAACGTATATAGCTGATTTAAAAATAAACAATTAACTTAGGAAACGTTTAACAAAAACTCTGTAACTTTAAAAACCAATTCTTTTATCCAGAGATGTGATTGTGAGATTTGTGAGGAGTTACCATCAAAGAATCCTATTCTGATTGATAATATACTTAACGTTACAAGTAGTTATGAATACTTAGTATAATGATAATGTTCTGTATCAATCACTATCAGAGTCGCTAAGTTTATATGATATAAATTAATACGTGGTTTACTGTTTGCGAAGTGACATTGTTATCTTCGAAGTTTCTTCGCGTTATTTGTGCATTGATTCCACTTCATTCTTTTTTGGCTAAATGAGGCTAACCAAGGCGAATTGTACCATGAGCAAGCTAATTTTTGAACGTCGATTGACGCTTAACCAAATTTAGTAATCGATAGTTATCGCGATATTTCTTAATCAAGTGACAATTAATGGGGATGCCAAGCATTTCGTGTGTGTTTGAATTGATATTAGGTTTGAAATTCTTGGTTATACGATGACCCCATGAGGTAGTATTGTGTTATATGTACTTCTAAATTTGAAAATAAAATACATACATATGTACGTACGTACGTACGCACTGTACGTATGTAACTTTGCAGCAGATTTATATATTTTAAATTTATATAATGAAAAAAAATTTTAGTAGTTAATGAATTTATACTTTATCAATAAATTTTTTTTTAATATTTTAGTCGACTTTATATAACGAACCTTTCTGTAACGAACTCTGATTAACGATAATTCAAAATTTTTAATTTTATATTAATTTAGTAAAAACGGTATGGTTATTATTGACATTATATAGAAATTTATAAATTGAGCTTTTCTATATAATTTTTTGTGTGACAAAATTTTTAATGTAAACAACGACTTATTTTGGTTAATGCCGCTTCATTTTGACCATTACAAAATGGTAACTACACAAAACATGGGCCACACGATATAATCAATACTGAACTAATCACCAAACTACTAAACTCTATCAAAACCCTTAATAGCGGCAGGCTACAATCGAGGCGTGGTAAGATTTGGTCCGAGTAATTGGGGTGTTAGATTAGAGCTCTATATTACGTCACTAACACGAAACTCTAATTCAGAATCACGGGATTAGACTACAATTATATGCGAATTTGACTTATCGGAAGGGGGGTAATTAATAAAGGAAATACTGGTTTCAGAGTATTGAACTCTAGCCGAGTTCTACCAAGAACTGTTTTATTGTGAAGACAAAAGACATCGTATTTATAACTTTTACATTGCTACGGCACAAATTACACTAATTCGCTAATTCTACTAAAAATAGATAATGACAACATATAAAGTACAGAAAGTGCAGTTCAAAAAGCACAGTACAAAAAGTGCAAAAAGTTCAGTTCAAAAAGTATGAAAAATACAGTTCGAAAAGTGCAGAAAGTTCAGTTCAGAAAGGACACATCAAACTAGTTTTACTAAATCTCATATGCATAAGATCTACTATGTGTGAAAAAATTCATCTCCAACCACAATCTACCCTTTCACACAATGCAAAAGCTTTTTATGCATATAAGTGATGACCAAGGAAAACTGGCTTTGAGCTTTTGAATTTACAACATGTTGGACTTATTTATTCAGATTGAATCGGTCTTGGCGTTACTATATTCCCTACTGAATTATTTTAATGTTGAGTTTCTTTTTTTTCAACAGTAATGAGGAAGCGTATATATAGTACTGCTTCAAAATATAACAATCCTTTTGATAACTAACTTTATTTTGGCAAAATTATTATAGAGTTCGGTACGTGTAATTGCATAACTATTTTTAAAATGAACTTTTTTCAAAAAATTTTACATATAGGCCCGTCAGGTTTATTTTTCTATTTAAATTAATATGAGAAGTAACGAGAGTAGATAAAACCGCCAAAGGATTTAATTCTGCAGTTAGTACGTTTGTGCTAATTTTTTTTCATCTGTACTTTCTAATACTGTGCAGCGTCTTGGCATGTTAACATAAAAATAGGTGTGCAGCATGTATATACGTTGTGAAGGTCCCAGGTAGTGATGTGCCACGTACAGTACTATACGTACAGTACTGTACGTACTGTACGTACTGTACGCTAAAATTTTTGCCGA